GACCAGCCTCCGGAGCTTCACCACCAGGAGCCTGCGCAGTGGCTGAATGACCCACATGCGGACCATCATCTTCAGCTCCTGCAGCGGCACCTGGTACAAGAACCTTCCGCTTCTTGCCAGCCAAGCGTGACTTCTGCTCCTCCATCTCTTTACGAACGCGTTCAGCATGAGCCTGCGCGGCACCAAATAGTTTCTTCGCCTGCTTCTGTATCTCGTCGTTGAGTGTCTTGAGCCGAGCCGCAGCCTCGTTTCTGTCCTCCTCGTTGAGGTCGTAGTCTGCTTCCCACTCCAAAAGGCTGGACATGTCAATGGGTAGCGGTTGTCCACCAAGCAGGTCAGAGATGGAGATCTTGACCTCCTGCTTGACAGAGCCCTCGGGGTTCCGAGGCCGATCATCCACCGACTGGTGCAACTGCTCCACCAGCTCCTTGTGTAGCTTCTCCGAGGCCTCCAACTGCGAAGTAATTGACTCCACATTGGCGCGGGCCTGGACCAGCTCGTTGGAGATGCGCTCGAAGGACTCCACCGCTTTGGACAGTCGGGCCTCCAAGCTCCGCATGCTGTGGTACGCCTGGTTGACCTTCTGCTGCAAGGGGGGCTCAACCTTCTTGGCTGCGGCCATCTCGTCGAGCTTGTGTTGATAACGCTTTGCTGATTCTTCGTCACCCTGGGCTCGCAACAACTGTACCAGTGATGCAATCCGAGTGTTCTCGTCGGGGGGTAGCTGGGCTCCTCCTGCGCCTGGAACTTGCGGGCCAGGATGAAGAGGAGCAGCACCACCGGGAGACAGCATCGGATTAGCAACCCATGTCCCTGGGGGCGGCGGCCCCTGTGCCCACACTCCGCGAGGAGCGGCGGGCTGTTGGAACGATGGTGACGAACGCCAAGCCCAGCAGTGTTTGCACTGCTGCCAAGCCTGCTTGTTCTTCTTGCAGCCGCAACTCGGACAAGTCCACCTCGATGAAGGTGCATCGCCGTGCTGGGCGCCACCCTTTCCACCGAACGTAGTACCTGTCTTGCCTCCTTTGCCGAATCCTTTGCCTTTGTTGAAGGACTGGGCATACTGCTGCTGCTGCGCCTCCAGCTGCCAAGGCGGGATCGGCCCTCCCCAGTTCGCCGCTGCTGGGGAAGGCACAGCCATCGCGCACACAACTGGATGGGTATCGTGGTAGGAAGCGCGGGACTCCGCCCGCAGAAACGAAAAAGGCTCGCAGGAACGCGGGCCCTTCTGAAGAACTGTTCCTGCAACGCTACTCGAGCGCAGAAGGGCTTAGGCGACCCGAGGAGGAGGAGGAGGAGGAGAGGAGGAGGAGCGAGGAGGGGGAGGAGGAGGAGGAGGAGGAGGAGGAGGAGGAGGAGGAGGAGGAGGAGGAGGAGGGAGGAGGAGGAGAGGAGGAGGAGCAGGAGGAGGAGGACGAGGAGGAGGAAAAGGAGGGGGAGGGGAGGAGGAGGAGGAGAGGAGGAGGAGGAGGAGGAGCAGGAAGAGGAGGAGGAGGAGGAGGAAGAGGAAGAGGACCTTTCCCCCCTTCGCTTCGGAGGGGCGGGCGGGCCGGGCCGCGCACCCCGCTCTTGCCTTGGCCCTGGAGAGAGATGAGGAGAAGTGAGAGTCAACCCCTGGATCGGCCGTGGTGCTGGTGTAATGCCGCGTCGGACCAACCGATCCATGATTGTGTACTTCCCTCCTTCCCTCCTGGGTGCTCGATGCGAGGCCCTTTCGGCCTCCTCCTCCTCCTCCTCATCATCATCATCAGCAACATCATCATCACCAACAACATCATGAACGATATCAATTTCAATATCATCATCATCCACATCCTTCATTTCATCATCATCGTCGTCATCATCATCATCAACATCATCATCATCATCAACTCGTGCTGCCGTGATTTCCATGTCCTTTTACCTATGTTACCCACGCCTTCCAGCTATCGGGGGGGGGCGCTGATGCCGACCTCGCCCAAATGGTGCCTCGACCTCGTCCCTTCTTCTCGCCATCGCTCGGACGTTCATTCCCCGTGCATTTTTCGGCTCCGTGCGTGTATGGTTCCGTAAGATGGCATGGCATGCTCCTCGATGGTCCTCGCCGAGAAAAATGCACACGTCCGAGCGATACCAAGTCTTGGACCGCACACTGCCATGAATCTTAAAGACCCGTGCTTCTGCGGCATTTTGCCGCCCGACTTGGCGACGAAGCGCGTCGAATTCGTTTGGAAATGGAACCCCGCGCTAACTCATACGACTAATCCACTATGTTGGCGCTTCCTCGACTTCTCCTCCTTCCCCGTTCCCTGCTGTTTTCTCCTTTCCTTCACCTCACTCAGTCCTCTCCGCCTGTGCATCCACCCTCCTCCTGGGAGGAGGGGAAGGAGCGGCAGCAGCAACAGCAAGAACACGTCTCGTGGTATTCCCGATCACTCGCCGACAATTCTTTGTGGCGGATATGGCAGCAGATGCGCTGGCTGCCAAATCACGCAATCAAGTTTACATCCATCTGCCTATAGCGAATGCGGCAAGGAGAGCATGGCAACCAACATGCAACGACTCCCTCCCGCATGAGTGTAAATGGGGAGCGTATCATAGCATCTACACCGCTCACACCGAACAGTATAGAAGACGCTACCAGCACCTAACTACTGGCTGCCCGTTGCTATCGCTAGTCGTTCACAGCCGTTGAACCTTCCAATGTGCATACGCATGCGTCCATACGCCACTTGGCTCTCCGAAGTACCTGCTCGGACACATGGCTCGTCTAACGCACAATTACAATATGAATTCAAGTACGGCAAATTCGTGTCACGTCGACCCGGGCGCTCGTTCCTGACACCGCGGGAATCGTTCAGCCTTGAACGATCGGCCGTTTCCGCAAAGTCCGATCGTTGAACATCGACCGACTGGGCCGCCGCCAGCGTTCAACGCTGAACGTTGGCGGCGGTGTCGCCGCCAATCGACACGACACGAACCTACCGTTAAGTTGGGCCTGTCCCTCTACAAGGGGAATATTCAAAAATAGGCAAAACATAATATGGGGACGATTTTTTGATATGTTTGACAATTTTTGAAACATTTTTCTGTACTTTAATTTTTCGCCCGAAATTCCCCTGTAGGGGGACAGGCCCGACCTACGCCCACCGTAACACGTAACAGCCCCCATCCCGCAGTACAGCAATTGCTCGATGGGCCGCCACCGTGCTCCCTGGCACATGGCGGCGCGGTCGAATGCCAAAATGCTGTCTGGCGAGATTTTCCTGCATGTCGTCTATGGGGACCCCCACCCAGGCGGACAAGAAGAGCTCGACAGGGCTGAACCTAAACTTAGGTCGGGCAGGTCCTCCCACAGGCGGATTTTGTCTGACAGATTTAAAAGAGTCGAGCAATACCCCAAGGTATTCAAAACAATTTCAGATAACAACACTCTCCAGACTATTGTTTGACCATTTTTGAATGTTCCTCCTGCAGAGGGACAGGCCCGACTTTAAACCTATAAACGTTGTTAGTCGCTTTGTTGTTCGTTTTGCTCGACCTGCTTTTCTGAGTATCGTTTAGCCGATCCCCATCCCCACCATCGTGGCCTGGGCCTCATTGGCCAATTTGCCCCCCTAGGTGGGGATATAGGCCGTTCCCTTCGGGTTTCGCGGGGTGTATCCCCCCAACTGGGGGGGGCATTCTTTGGGGGTCTCGAAGGGGATGGGGATGGGGATGGGGGTCGGATAAACCATACTGCTTTCCTGTACCTCCCTGCCAAAAGCGAAGAGCATAACACAGCCGAGGTCCAGCAACACAGCGCTTCGGTCCAGCCGCGGAGCTCAGGACTGCACCCAAACAGCCCACAAAAAAGCCGCGCTGCGGCATAGAGAGGGTCCCACGAGGGCCCCACACACACGGTGTTTTGCGTTTTCGTTGCGCTTTCGTTTTCCCTCGCTCTTGCCTCGAATCCGCCTCTACCGCAAAACGACGTCGAAACGAAAACGGCCCACGAAATCACCCAAAGCACCGTTTAGGCCCAGCCCTGCCACACGAGAGTCCACACGACACCCCCGAGGCTGGGCGGGATTTCAGCGGGGTAGGGGCCGTGGCCTGGGGGTCGCCCTCATGCCGGCGTGGGCGCCGCCAGGGGAATGCTGCGGAGGGGCCTTCGTCAGAGGCCAGCAACATATGTACACGTACGCGGTGAGCTTCCCCTGGAGGGCGTTTGAACGAGGACGTTCGTGCACTCAAGATCGCAGAGGGCGTACATGTACATATGTCGTTGCTCGCTCACTTCGGCGGGCCTTCAAGGGAACCTTCGGCGATCTTTTGGGCCAGCCCGGGCAGCCCACACGGGAACCCCCTGGAGGTGGCACACGCCACGGCCTCGCGAACGGGGGCTCGGAGCGTCGCTGCTCTGGCTGCTGCGCTGAGCACGGCGACTAACTAGCCTCGAACGTATCCCTACCCCTGAGATGAACAAGCCAAAAGTCGACGACCAATCTTAGGGATGCGCCCGCAGAAACGGAGGGAATCCCTGAGATTGGCATCGAGATGAGGCGATGCCAGTCATAGGGATAGGGATGTGTTCCAGGCTGGTGAGTGACGGGACTTGCCGCAAGCAGTGCATCGAACAGAGCAAGAGCACAGAAGTTCCCCAATCAGTGCTTGCACTGAAGGGATCCTAGCGGAAACTGAAGGATTGGGCGAAAGCTTCCCGCCGACTTTGGCAGCAGCCTGGGTTCCCGGGTTCCTGGTTCTGGGTTCCCAGGTTCCCGCGGATTGGTTCTGGGCCGATTTCGGTGGGTTCTGGCTCCCGGGCTCCCGGGTTCCCGGCCGATCTCTCCAGCGAAGACCATCCACTGATTGTGGCTTCTCCCTGGCGCAGTTCTTCTTTTTGCCTCCTCGCGCAAGCCGGTCTCTCTCTTGTGTAATTGTTCCTTCTGTCTCCGCGAGAGAGCGCCGAGACCCACGCCGCACTCGTGCGCCATCCGTGGAGGCCGAGCTCGCCGCGCCCACGCCGCTCCGGCCCTCCCTCAGCCAGGGCCTCCTGCGACCGCGACTCCTCGGGGGCCCCGGCGCCCCCGCGGCGCTCCCGACTCGGCGGTGCGCTCGCTCCGCTCGCCACCGGCTGACGCGCCCGCGCTTTCTCTCGTGCTCTCCCTCTCCCTCTCTCTCTCCCAGTGCCTCGCTCTCTCTCTCTCGCTCTGTCTCGCTCTCTCTCTCTCTCTTGGGGGCGAGAGCCTCGCCATCGGCTGACGCGCCCGCGCTTTCTCTCGTGCTCTCCCTCTCTCTCTCTCAGTGCCTCGCTCTCTCTCTCGCTCTGCCTCGCGCTCTCTCTCTCGGGGGCGAACGCCCACGGCTCCCAAGGAGCAGCCGGGCCCGGGCAAGGCAACTGGCCGCAGTCCCCGGGTACCACATCGCACCAGGCAGCGCGGAGCAGCCACGGCTCTCTCTCTCTCTCTCTCTCTCTTTGTCTCTCTAGAGGAAATAGAACTATGCACGTACACCAATTCTGGCCAGGCCCAGCCCGGTCCAAGGATCGGTGCATACGCTCTCCTGCCATGGCCAGGACAGCATATGCACCGATCCTGTGGCCAAGATGGGCCTGGCCAAGATCAGTGCGTGTGCATAGTTCTCTTCGCCCGACTCTCTCACTCACCAATTATTCCTTCTACACCCTCCCGTACAAGTAGCCCCGCCGCCTCCCAGAAAGCTTCAAAAAGCTTCAAACATGCACCCATGACAACTTCGCGGCGGGTCTAGGAGCAACCCTGGAAGCGTCGCGCCGACCAAACTTACCGCTCCCCATTCGGTCAAAATCCTTCCCTCGACGCCATCGACAGGCCGAAGGGGTCCCCAAGAACACTCCCTACAGGGCCCCCAGACGCGAAAATTGTTCATGTTCCATTGTGTTTTTCGATGTTCTCTGCCTCCTCGCCTTCTCGGCTGTCCGACGGACGCTCCACGACGGCCCCTGAGACCCCCAAGAGTGCCCCAAGGCGGCCCAAGAGGCCCCCAAGACGACCCCAAGACGGCCCAAGAGGCGCCCAGCAAGGCCCCAGACGGCCCCGGGAAGGCCCCCCAAAGAGCCCGAGAGGGCGACTAAACATTCAAACATCTAGCTTTCCGTCGTGACAGGTTGCCAGGAGACGCCAAGAAGGCGCCACGAGGCCCCCAGCGGCCCCCAAGAGGACCCACGGAGGCCCCAGGAGGCTTCCAAGGGCCCCCCCAAACAAAAACAAGATGCCCCTAACACAGCCCCCATGAGGCGCATTCTGAGATCCCAGTGAACACTTCAGCGGCCTCTAACACAGAACCCAAGCACGGTGGCGGGATAGGCACTTCAAAAGCGCCACACTGGCACAGAGCACTGCACCTCATACCCATTTACAGACAAAACCGAAGCAGGAATGCAAGTCCATACCTTTTTTCCGCCGAATTTCTAACCTGAGCGCAGCCACTCCAAGAGCTGAAATACAGGACGGACAACGCCCAACACTACAAGCCCCCCACTTACAAACAAGACCGAAAAAAGACTGCAAGACGATGCCTTTTCCCGCGAATTTCTCCAGAACGCAGCCACTTCAAGAACTGAACTACAGGACGAACCACGTCCAACACTACAAGCCCCCCCGAGGCGCTAACAAGCCCCCTAGAGGCTCCAAAACAGCTTCGAGCAAGGCGCCCAAGAGGCTCCAAGCCTCACCACAAGAGGACCCGAAGGCCCCCTTACGAACGATGATGTGGAAAGCTTTGAACGCCAGGGCTCCCTGTACAAACAGAGACGTCAAACAAACTTGCCATGAACAAAAATGCACGACTGAGCACGACGAACATGGCAATATCGCGCCATACGAACGCAACATACGCTTACAAACACAGCAGCTTGACTGCACAATGAGCTGTCCATACACAAACAACTGACGCCTACTTCAAACAAACTTCGCCTACAGGACCGCCGCCCTATAAAAATCTCCTAAATGGCACAAGGCACTGCGCCTCATAATCATTTGCGAACAAATCCAAACAACAGGAATACAGGACGGTACCTTTCCATCGAACTTCAAACCAGAACGCAGACAGTCCAACAACTGAAATACAGGACGGAGCAATGCCAATGCTACAAGCCCTCAAGAGACGCTGGAGGGCCCCCCAGAGGTCGCGAACCAGCCTCCAAGAAGACCGCCAAGAAGCTCGGTCCCTGACCACAAGAGCATCCATACTGGTTCTAAGACGCCTCTGGAACCTCATGTACCACGACATTCTATGGTTCCATTATCGAAATCAGGCCCCCCTGCACGAACACTGACGTCCAAGTACACTTGCCTACAACAGAAATGCAGGACGAGGCACGACTCTCACTGCAATAGCGATCCAGACTTACGCCTATCAATCGTTTGCACCAAATCCAAACAACAGGGGCTCCTTGGGTTCCTCTGGGGGATTCATCGGGGTTCCTGGGGGGTTCCTCGGGTCTCGGGTGACAGTTTGAATGCTTCCCGAGGGCGTCTTGGGGCAATTTCTGAGCCCTCCTGGGGCAGTCTTCGAGCTCTCTGAAGCCTTTTTGGGGTCGTCTTCGAGCGGCTTTCGGTGCCTCTCGGGCGTTCTCGGACGCCCGGAAGACCGAATAACCGAGTAGTCCAAAATCATACAAAAAACACCAGAACTTCATCCTTTCTTGCGTTTCGAAAGCCTTTTAGGGGTGATACTTGGGCCGTCTTCGGGCGCCATCTTAGACCGCCGTCTTGGGAGTTTCTTGGGACCGCCGTCGACCCGTTTGCACGGCTCGACAAGGACTTCCAGAGGCCCGGAAATCTCGCGAGACCCTGGAGCGTCCAGGAGCCCAAGGCGCTGGTGATCCCGTTTCGGGGGGTGGGGGGTCCGCAGGATCCTAGATTATAGCCGGAGTGCAGTATCCCCAAACAGGGTTTTTAGACCCACTGCGGTTTCCAAGGTCGATTGCGTGCCTGTCCAGGGCGGGCTGGCATGGCATGTTAAAACATGCCTCCTCCTCCTCCTCCTCCTCCTCCTCCTCCTCCACCTCCTCTTCATCCCGAACGGCATCTCGGAGCCCAGAGTTGCGAGGATGTCTCCAGCGTAACGGGCTGGACCACCTCGCGCGCGGCATTTCGGACCCCAGAGTTGCGACGATGTCTCGGGCGAAACGTGCTGCGAGGAAGTCTCAGGCGAAACGGGCCGGACCACCTCGAGCGCGGCGTCTCAGAGCTCCGAGTTGCGGGGGCCTCCTGGGCCTCCTGGGGCCTCCTGGGACCTCCTGGGGCTTCCTCCTGGGCCTCCTGTGGCCTCCTGGACCCCACCTGGGGCTTCCTGAAGCCTCTGGGGCTGGGGCCTCCCAAGGGGCAACGAATCGACACCGGATGTGTATTAACTTGACACGTTCTGATAGGGGGCCTCCTGGGGCCTCCTGGGAGCCTCCTGGGAATCTCCTGGGGACCCCTGGGGCCTGTCCTGGGCGTCCTGCGGCCTCCTGAAGCTCTCTGGGGCCTCCTGGGGCTCCCAGGGTCCCAGGGGGGATATGTAACATGTGGTCTTCTGGGCCCTCAGGCTGGACCACCTCTCGCGCAGCATCTGGGAGCTCAGAGTTGCGAGAATGTTTTGTGCGAAACGGGCTGGGCCATCTTGCGCACGGCATCTCAGAGCTCAGAGTTGCGAAGATGTCTCAGGCGAGATGAGCCGGACCACCTCGCGCAGGGCATTTCGGAGCCCAGAATTGCGAGGATGTCTCCAGCGTAACGGGCTGGACCACCTCGCGCGCGGCATTTCGGACCCCAGAGTTGCGACGATGTCTCGGGCGAAACGTGCTGCGAGGAAGTCTCAGGCGAAACGGGCCAGACCACTTCGAGCGCGGCGTCTCAGAGCTCCGAGTTGCGGGGGCCTCCTGGGGCCTCCTGGGACCTCCTGGTGACCTCCTGGGGCTTCCTCCTGGGCCTCCTGTGGCCTCCTGGACCCCACCTGGGGCTTCCTGAAGCCTCTTGGGGCTCCCGGGGGGGATATCTAACATGTGGCCGTCGGGCCCCCCCAAAATGGGAGGGGGCCACAAGAGCAGGAAAAATCAACGAATCGACACCGGATTTGTATTAACTTGACACGTTCTGATAAGGGGGCCTCCTGGGGCCTCCTGGGAGCCTCCTGGGAATCTCCTGGGGACCCCTGGGGCCTGTCCTGGGCGTCCTGCGGCCTCCTGAAGCTCTCTGGGGCCTCCTGGGGCTCCCAGGGTCCCAGGGGGGATATGTAACATGTGGTCGTCTGGGCCCCCAGGCTGGACCACCTCTTGCGCGGCATCTGGGAGCTCAGAGTTGCGAGAATGTCTTGTGCGAAACGGGCCGGACCAACTTGCGCACGGCATCTCAGAGCTCAGAGTTGCAAGGATGTCTCAGGTGAGACGGGCCGGTGTCTCGGGCGAAACGTGCTGCGAGGAAGTCTCAGGAGAAACGGGACGGACCACCTCGAGCGCGGCGTCTCAGAGCTCCAATTTCGGGAGCCTCCTGGTGCCTCCTGGGGCCTCCTGGGGACCTCCTGGGGCTTCCTCCTGGGCTTCCTGTGGCCTCCTGAACTCCACCTGAGGTTTCCTGAAGCCTCTTGGGGCGCCCAGGGGGGGATATCTAACATGTGGCCGTTTGGGCCTTCAAAATGGAAGGGGGGGGCACAAGAGCAGGAAAAATCATGAATCGACACCGGATGTGTATAAACTTGACACGTTCTGATATGGGGCCTCCTGGGGCCTCCTGGGAGCCTCCTGGGAATCTCCTGCGGACCCCTGGGGCCTGTCCTGGGCGTCCTGCGGCCTCCTGAAGCTCTCTGGGGCCTCCTGGGGCTCCCAGGGTCCCAGGGAGGATATGTAACATGTGGTCTTCTGGGCCCCCAGGCTGGACCACCTCTTGCGCGGCATCTGGGAGCTCAGAGTTGCGAGAATGTCTTGTGCGAAACAGGCCGAACCACCTTGCGCACGGCATCTCAGAGCTCAGAGTTACGAGAATGTCTTGTGCGAAACGGGCCGGACACCTCGCGCAGGGCATCTCAGAGCTCAGAAGTTCGAGGATGTCTCAGGCGGGCTCCCAGGGTCCCAGGGAGGATATGTAACATGTGGTCTTCTGGGCGCCCAGGCTGGACCATCTCTTGCGCGGCATCTGGGAGCTCAGAGTTGCGAGAATGTCTTGTGCGAAACGGGCCGGACCACCTTGCGCACGGCATCTCCGAGCTCAGAGTTGCGAGCATGTCTCAGGCGAGACCGGACCACCTCGCGCAAAGCATCTCAGAGCTCAGAAATTCGAGGATGTCTCAGGCGAAACGGGCCGGACCACCTCTCGCGCGGCATCTCCGAGGTTAGAGTTTCGAGGATGTCTCAGGCGAAACGGGCCGGACCACCTCGCGCAAGGCATATCAGAGCTCAGAGTTTCGAGGATGTCTCAGGCGAAACGGCCCAGAACACCTCTCGCACGGCACCTCGAGGCTCAGAGTTTCGAGGATGTCTCAAGCGAAACGGCCCGGACCTCCTATCGCGCGGCGTCCCGGAGCGCAACTTTTCGAGGATGTCTCAGGCGAAACGGCCAATCCCGGCCAACTCAGAAACGAGAGTTGTGAGGATGTCTCAAGCGAAACGGCCCGGACCATGAAATTTTTGTGAGGATGTCTCTGCTCCGACTTCCCTCGGCCGGAGTTAGCTTCTATCACAACAGCACCCCGTTCAGCAAGCTGTTCGGGGAATAAACATATAGAAGAAGAACCTGCCCATGCGATGCTTTGCAACAAACTGTAATATACTGCGATCGGCTGCCATGCCACTGATGGGGATACATGGTACTATGTTATGTATCGTGTGCCCTTGCTGGGTCACCCCATAGATCGGATTACGCTAAACTCACGATCAATCCTTGCCTCGCCATCGGCTTTGACCATCCGGCCCAACTGGGCGATCGATGCTGCCCTGTCTCAAACTCCCTCGCACTTTTTCTCAGATTCTCTCGCAATGATCCATCGCGAATCTTTGTCGCACATAGTCGACGAGCTAGTGACGATGAAAGTGTGGACAAGGCTTGGCACTGCGGCCGTGGCCGCAACAACTTCACGTGAATACAAAGCCACGGACATCGATGGCCAGAGCGACCGATGAACTTACGCAAGTGCTATGCGTTTAAGCCGCACTGTCACGGCAATTCGAACACAATCTCCACGCACATGCAATTCATTTAAATCACTAACAACTAACACGACAATATTCAGCTGCGTGCACACCGTTGCACTACGCTTTCCCTGCCGTGCCGTCGTGCTCAGAATCTCTGACAGCAGCTGCGGTCGCTTATTCAAGCTCGCACCTCAACTGAGAAATGATGAGAAAGACGCTCAAGAGGATGAATGGGGACAAAGAGAACGAGGGCGAGACGGTTGTGCTTCTTCGGATTGGGTGCGTGTTCGTGTCGAGCCCCTTGACCGTAAACAAATCAGTTGCGGGTGAAAAGCCCTTGGGGGGAAAACGGTCGAGAACGCCTGGGCCGACGACTCGGACAAAAGCACGGGCGGAAGCACATTTTTTGTTTTTATATATAAAATGCTTCTGGAGTCGAAGGAAGTGTCCTCGGCCAATGCCGCTGCCGCACGATGGCGACAAGATGTTCCCGCATGCGCGGACATGGTTGTTCATGCTTGCAACACTTGCATCAGCCTGCGCATGTCAATAGACCGCGCTGCGCCCCTCAGATCGTTGATCCCACGAACCAACTCGTGTAGGTCGATTAAGTCGTCACCGCCACTCAGGTGAAAGACAAAGTCTGCGTCGCTGGCGACGAAATCCATGGAAGCGAGCCACGTTTTGACGTTTTTGTTCTCCAGCACCTTCCAGAACTCGCTTCTATTGATTTGGCCAATGCCATCCAAATCCGCCATGGTGAAGAGGGCCTCTACCTTGTGATTGCGCTGACGAGTGATCCTATCCGTCATCCTCATCATGGTCGCCTCATCGGTGCTGGCAATCTTGAACGTCTCCTGCATGAACCCGCCACCGTGCCTCCTGCCACGTTCAGGTGTGGCAGAATGAGCTGCCTGGCATGGGTTCTGTAACCCTTATACAATTGGACCTAAGCCAAAAAAACATCCCCCAAGAACACGAGACCCTCCGCCGGCCAAAACACACAGGACAGCCAAGGATGCCCTCCCCACGCTGAACAAGAACGTCCAGCAAGCACGACGAACACGAGGATACCCTCCCCGAGGCGATCTCGATCTTGTACCTCGACCCACGAACGCCTGGTATTTTCTCGGTCATAACTCGGCTCTCCAGTGGCCGTTCGGGATGACCCAAGCACCCTGGGATCGCCCTCGGCGAGGCGCAGCCGCTGGAGCGCATCCCAAGGCTGGAAAACCGCCGACAACCGACGCCGACGCCCGAAAACGTCGAACTTCTGCCTCGGTCTGGCCGCATCTGCAAGTCGGGCCAGGGCGCCTGTAACCTCGACCTCGTGCCTCGGTGTAGCTCTAAGCCTTCGGAGACCCCCCCCCCGTGCTCCCTGCCTCGCCCCGTGCAGCGCTCTCTCGCCGTGCCTCGCCCTGGCCATGCCCGAGGCTCCCTCCTCCTCCTCCCTCCTCCTCCCTCCTCCCTCCCTCCTGGGCTCGGCGGGCTCTCCCACCAGCGCTTCGGTGCCCGAGCAGGCCATCAGGGCCGACTGGCCGTCGCCCTCCTGGCCCCCAAGTGCCAAGAGGCCTCCAAGACGGCCCAGCACTGGGAGGCCTCGTGCGAACCCTGCCCCACCACCCCAAGATTTCTAAGGGGGGAGGTGGGGTTCACTTCGTCCGGGACCTCCCGAGCGAAGTGAAGCCCACCTCCCCCCTGAGACCTCGCGGCGCGGTGGGGTAGGGTTCGCACGTGGCCGCCGACAGGAAGTCCGCATCAGGGCCGCCGAGATGGCCCAGCATTGTCCCGAGTCTTCTAGCTTGGAGTAGGGGATCGACCACACCATTGATTCACCCCAGCTTCGACTTGCTCGTTGAGTCTACGAGCGAATACATGTAATGCCCGTAGATCTACGGGACACTATTCGTTTTCCTCGTAGGATCGACGACGCAAGTAGTCGATCCCCTACTCGATAGCTGCTCACAAGAAGGCCCCAAGAGGCTTCCAATATACACCGGAGAGAAAACCAAGGTGCCCTCCAGGAAAGCCAGAACCATGTAAACACCGAGCGACACCCTGACGCATTGCAATTCTTGCTTTTCCCGGCCCTCTCACCTCAAAGTGGTTCCAAGAGGGCTTTCAAAACAACTCGGATTCCGAACGAGTCCAAAGAGGGCCCGACAACGCACCCCAGACGGCCCAGTACAGGCCGAAGAGGGTCCCCAGACGTCCCAACAGTGGCCCAGGACAGCCCTAGGTAAACCTCAGATGGCTCAAAACAACCCTACGAGACCCTAGACGGCCGGCCGATACGGGTCAAACACGGCATCAAGATGGCCCAAGAGTGCCCCAAGCAAGCCCAGGACGGTCCCGCAGCCCCAAAATAGTCCAGGCAGGCCCCATGAGAGCCCCTCAAGAAATGGCCACGAGAGGTAACACATGTAACGGTCTCCTTGGTGTCGCCACAAAGTGAGTTGCGCTGGCACGGTGGCAAAACTTGCCGCAGGCGGCTCGATACCGCGTTGATCACCCCGATAACGGCCATGCCCATACCCAACTTGTAGGACAGCGCGGCGACTATGAACCCTTTGTGTAAATTCTCTGCCAGCCAACGGCAGATCGGTGGCCAGTTCGCCAGTGCCAACTCAAAGAGCGACAACAATGAGCGGGTGAAGGTCCCCCAATACGTGATTGTAGCCGGAGTTCAGTATCCCCAAACAGGGTTTTTAGACCCACTGCGGTTTCCAAGGGCGATTGCGTGCCCGTCCAGTGCGGGCTGGCATGGCATGCTAAAACATGCCTCCTCCTTCTCCTCCTCCTCCTCCTCCTCCTCCTCCTCCTCCTCCTCCTCCACCTCCTCTTCATCCCGAACGGCATCTCGGAACCCAGAGTTGCGAGGATGTCTCCAGCGTAACGGGCTGGACCACCTCGCGCGCGGCATTTCGGACCCCAGAATTGCGACGATGTCTCGGGCGAAACGTGCTGCGAGGAAGTCTCAGGCGAAACGGGCTGGACCACCTCGAGCGCGGCGTCTCAGAGCTCCGAGTTGCGGGGGCCTCCTGGGGCCTCCTGGGACCTCCTAGTGACTTCCTGGGGCTTCCTCCTGGGCCTCCTGTGGCCTCCTGGACCCCACCTGGGGCTTCCTGAAGCCTCTTGGGGCTCCCACGGGGGGATATCTAACATGTGGCCGTCGGGGCCCCCCCAAATGGGGGGGGGGGCACAGGAGCAGAAAAAAATAACGAATCGACACCGGATGTGTATTAACTTGACATGTTCTGATAAGGGGGCCTCTTGGGGCCTCCTGGGAGCCTCCTGGGAATCTCCTGCGGACCCCTGGGGCCTGTCCTGGGCGTCCTGCGGCCTCCTGAAGCTCTCTGGGGCCTCCTGGGGCTCCCAGGGTCCCAGGGGGGATATGTAACATGTGGTCGTCTGGGCCCCCAGGCTGGACCACCTCTTGCGCAGCATCTGAGAGCTCAGAATTGCGAGAATGTCTTGTGCGAAACGGGCCGGACCACTTTGCGCACGGCATCTCAGAGCTCAGAGTTGCGAGCATGTCTCAGGCGAGATGGGCCGGACCTCGCGAAGGGCATCTCAGAGCCCAAAGTTGCGAGGATGTCTCAGGCGAAACGGGCTGGACCACCTCGCGCGCTGCATCTCGGACCCCAGAATTGCGACGATGTCTCGGGCGAAACGTGCTGCGAGGAAGTCTCAGGCGAAACGGGCCGGACCACCTCGAGCGCGGCGTCTCAGAACTCCGAGTTGCGGGGGCCTCCTGGGGCCTCCTGGGACCTCCTGGTGACCTCCTGGGGCTTCCTCCTGGGCCTCCTGTGGCCTCCTGGACCCCACCTGGAGCTTCCTGAAGCCTCTTGGGGCTCCCACGGGGGGATATCTAACATGTGGCCGTCGGGGCCCCCCACGAAGTGGCCTACAGTTGGCTCCGGGTATTCAAAATGTGGCCTGGGAATAGTGTTGTGGGAGCACGAAGAACAGGAAGTGGCCTACAGTCCGGGCGTTCAATATGTGGCCTGGGAGTGGTGTTCTGTTGGTTCTGGGCAGTCAAAATGTGGCTCCTGGCAATGAAAATGAGGAGTCCCCGGATTCCCGCGGCACCCGTCCGGCATCTGCCCAGACCCCCCTGGGGAGTCATGGTGCTCTCTTTTGAAACCACTAGAAACCTATCAGTCTTCGCTGTTAGGTAATTATGAAAGGTCTCACTCACTTTGGGGTCTCCCCAGACTTGTAAACTAATCTGGCAATATCTGAACGCGCGAGACCAGGCATCTGCAGGAGCGTCCACTCTGAATCGGGTCAAACGCACCTCACCGCGCCGCAAGTACTCTCGGGCAGAGCGATCTGAAAGCCACCTTCCGAACAACATGATGTCAGCGAGCGGCGCGCCTCTTGCGAGCAACTCAGCGGCGCCTCCGCGGCGCAGCCCATGGCTTGTCCAGTGCGCTGCGCCGAGCCCCAGCGCATCAGCAGCCTTCCGGAGCCAGCGCTGGAACCGAAGGTAAAACACTGGGCAAACTCTGTCACCAGGCTTTGCAGGGAAACGGAACGCATAGTGATCGAACCTCCTCAAACAGCACTTTCTGCTCGGCTCCACGCTTCGTGCGACCCAGAAGCGCCACGTAGCCAGTCGGGGTCCGCACCCACGAAGAGCCTTCCAGCGTCAGTGCCTCCGAGGCGCGGAGAAGGCCAGTGAAGCAGAGCAGCGCCGCCGCGGCGCAGCCGCACTCCCCGGCCAGCACCAGCCAGTTCGCAACCCCGAGCGCGAGCACTGCCGGAATGGCTGGTGCCTGCAGCGGCGGCCGCCGCTGCCGCCACGCGTCCAGCGCTTTCCAAGCCGCGCGGTAGTGGTGACGAGGGTTGGCCTTCGCAAAGGCCGCCAGCAGAGTGGAGGCTGAGCAAGCCCTCCACGCCACCCGACTCCTCGAAGAGGTCCACCACGCGCTCAGCCAGGAGCCAGTCGAGCTCCTCCTCGGTCAGCTGGTCAAGCCCAAGGCCAAGCGCCTCAAGGTCACAGCTGAACGCGCTGTGGGCCGCGGCGTACCTCTGCGTGGTCACGGGCTTCAGCGCACTCATCAATTAGCCTGGCGAAGGACCCAACCATATGCAGTTGTGAATGCCGCAATTGTGCTGGGTGGTGGCGGACGCATGCGGGCGGTGCCACTGGGACCTTCGGTGGAGCTCCCTTTGGGGCCACGAAACGCTGTACTGGGTGGGTGAGACGCGGTCAGCAAGGGCTGTGCTGCGTGGTGGGGGACGCATGCGAGCGGTGCCACTGGGACCTTCGGTGGAGCTCCCTATGGGGCCACGAAACGATGTACTGGGTGGGTGAAACGCAGGCAGCGAGCAAGGGCTGTGCAGGGTGGTGGCGGACGCATGCGGGCGGTGCCGCTGGGACCTTTGGTGGAGCTCCCTATAGGGCTACGAAGCGCTGTTCTGGGTGGGTGAAGCGCAAGGAACAAGGGCTGTGCTGGGTGGTGGCGGACGCAAGCGGGCAGTGCCACTGGGACCTTTGGTGGAGCCCCCTATGGGGCCACGAAACGTGCGAGGGGTGTGCCAGAATGGGGTGTGGAACCGCATGCCAGCGCAGCCACTGGGGCCTTCGGTGGAGCTCCCTATGGAGCCACGAAACGTGTGAGGGGTGTGCCGAAATGGGTGGGTGGAACCGCATGCGAGCGCAGCCACTGCGGCGTTCGGTGGAGCTCCCTATGGGGCCACGAGACGTGTGAAGGGCGTGCCGAAAAAAGGGGGTGGAACCGCATGCGAGCGCAGCCACTGGGGCCTTCGGTGGAGCTCTCTATGGGGCCACGAACCGTGTGAGGGGTGTGCCGAAATGGGGGGGGGAACCACATGCGAGCGCAGCCACTGGGGC